ATAAAAGCGATCACGTGACAAAAAATAAACCAATCAGATGAATTTAGTCAAAACATAGTATAAAAAAATGTAAATCACATTGCAGAATATATTAATGCAATTATACAGCAAACAACAAAATATCTGAAACAAGTATGGAATAAGATAAGAATTAAAAGTACTGTCAATGTCTGCTTTTGACAGGCGAAGACAGTTAAACATAGGAAAAACGTTCATTAATGCCATTGGAGTGGACAGTGCCAGGTTTGGAAATGAGGCGCATTTCATGTCTTGCGGCTAGCGTTGCTACCAGAAATGGGACATGCAGAGGGCTCGAATTTCCATATCTGAAACACTGTGATTGCGAGATTTAAAAACAGGCTGGTTGGCATCATTGCCATTGACTGCACGCCGATGCTCACCAAACCTTGTGCTGAAAGGTCTTCCAGTTTCTCCAATATAAAGCATGCCACGTCTCCTGCATGAGATGCAGTAGATGAGATGGGAGGAGGTGCACGTGAAAATATCGTTTATTTAAAGCTAAAATCTAAATCGGCCTGATTAATCGTTGTGTGTAAACGTACCTTAATGGTTATTGCCGCGTACTTGAACCTCTTGAATGTTTCACTGTTTATCCAGCTTTGGAAACAGTTCTCACGAAGCAAACATATTTCCAAATAAATTCAGAAACATATTTTGTTTCTCCATGTGATTTTTTTAGCGGAAACAATCGTTTCTTGTTTGTCCACTTTCGAGAAGAAGGCTGTAGCAGATATTGTTTCCTGGTTTGCTCAGCTTCGAGAAACATGGCTAGGAAACAATGTTTCATGGTTTACCAACCTTTTGGAATAAAAAAATTTCTGAAGAAAATTCTATCTTGTCTTTTATTATAGACACAATTGGTTCACAAAAACCAACACAGAAAAGCAAGAAGTCGTCGAAAGAAAGCCCTATGTGTAGTTCTTGTGATTCAAAAGACAAAACACCGCTTTCAAGTGATCGGGACAAATGGCCCATTGGTAAAATCGAATTTGGTTGTTTTGACGAAATTTGCAAATTACTCGACTTAACTGATCGTAGTAAGAAACCACTTATGAGCGCTTTAGGTGGCTTCGACCAAACAACGGCTGCATGTATTGAAAAGAAATATGAAAGAATGGGAGGAGTGGGGATTGCCGAAGTAGTACTCGGTAGGTGGGGATCATCAAATCAAGAAAATAATGTGGGGGCTCTTAAGAAGATTCTTAAAGATACCATGCAAAGGGATGATGTTGTTGTCGAGATTGAAAAATGGGAGAATTTGTCTGTTTGTCATGGATGCGGTATTAAATTGAACGCCTTGAACAAACCACATTGATTTCAATAACACTACTGAATGTAAATCATATTTCTATATATATATTAAGTGCACAAATTTGATAACATTTTGGCTATTGCAGATATAACGTACGGCCAAGCAAAAGCTCATGTGTTTCTACAGACAGATAAATAACATAGTAATTTGGAGTATTTTAAATACAAATTAAAATTGGTATTTTAGTAAGTTAATTTTGTAATTTTTTATAAAAGTTTATTTAGTTTTGCCTATAAAAATAACTTTATGACTAACTTCTTATTAACCGAACGAGAAGTTTGTACAAAGAAAGATCGGACCGAGGTCTTTTTTTGTCTTTTTTGGACTGAGGTCAGATATTTCTCTGTACATACCGAGCAAACGAGGTTAATAAAAAGTTTATTGTATGCCATTTATAGGCATTTATACTTGAAACAAACAAGAAATGCATTATTTGAAATGCATATTAGTAGCGTGGAACAGATTTGGTCGAAGAAAACAAAAAATAGCAATGTATTCCTTCTTTTTCACTAAAAACCATTCGCAGATATCTTATTAATAACAAATTAAATTAATATTTTCAATTAGTTTTGCTGTTTTGTTTTAAAATGCATGCGTTTGTTTTTCGTAATGGACCGCCGGTCCGTTACAGGAAAATAATGGACCGCTGAAAGTCCTCGACCAATCCACCCAATCACAGTCCGCCATTTTACCGGAAGTGAGTCATGCTTGCTATATTATTCTATATAAGGGACGGACCATTAGAAAAGTGACGGGGGGGGGGGCAAAACCAAAAAAATTTTATTCCCAGGCATAGTGCCAAAAAATAGAAATTATTCATTGCTTGGAAGATAAGCCTATAAATTTCACTTAAAAAAAATATTTCCAGCCATCAAGTGAGAAAAAAAAATTTCTATAGGTGTAACAAAAAAAAATATTGCCTCTTA